AGGACCATTAATCTCTAGATTAATATAGGTTTATTGTAATAAAGTTTCTACTATAACATTATATTAATAAAAAAAAATTTTGTATTTAATTTAATTTAATTGACTATCTGTTATCAAATATACAGCATTATTATACTACCTTCACACAATTTCTAAAATATTACTATTTAATTTCAAAGATATTACATATTTAATTTCTAAAACATTTATTTAGTATCTAATTTCGCATACTAAATTTGCATTTAATTTCAAAGATATTAATAATTTATTCTGATTTTTATCTAATTTCTATGTAAATTTCAAAAATAATCAATGATTAATTTCGAAAATATGTAAGATAAATTATCAAAAATAAATCATATCTGCGATAAATCAAATAGGTCATTTCTAGGAAAACCATGGATTGATAATTTTGAGAAAAATGCGATTAAATTTTAAGTAGCACAAAATTTAATCACATTTTTCTCAAAATTAAAACTACCCTTCAATTTGTAGTTTTTCTAGAAAACAACCCAAATATTAAATTTTCAGTGATCTAAGTGATTTCTGATGCAGTTATGATACTGTACCACCAATTTTTTGCACCATCACTATTTCACTCACAGCTTTTAGAGAAATTATGTTAAATGAATTTTGGTCAATACTTTAACTCACTTATCGGAAATTGCATTTGATTACATTCGGCTACCAGTTTCATTTTGTGCAGTAGAAAGAAGTTTCTCAAAATACAATACAATTTTAGATACTGATCGGCAAAGTTTGAATGAAGAATCATTACAAAGTTTAAACATGCTATATTTTAATAATCATTTAAATAACCATAGTATTTAAAAAAATTTTTTATGTTTTGTTGATTTTTTTTTGATTTTTTTAGTCGATTTTTAGTGATTGATTTTTTTTTTTATATACAGTCGACTCTGGATATACGGACTGCATATTCTGTTCGGTATAGAGTAAGTTCATTATATAATATACTCACTATACCGAACTGTTCGGTATATAAAGCTAACATAAAAATCTATCACAAAACTAAAATGTCTTCGGAAAATTTCGAAATTTTACTTGTTCACTCTTTTTTTTTTACTTCGTATGTATGCATATCCGCGAAATTATATAATAGTTCGCTATATTGAAATATGCATACATAGTAAAAAGGAGTTCGGATACGGTATATAAAAATTAACTATTTAAATTCAGTATAACCAGCCTAATTTATTATAAAAATCCGGTCTGCCAAATCCGGTTCGTTATAGCCCGATTTCGGTATAAGCAGGTTCGATATATCCAGAGTCGACTGTAGATTATCGATTTTTTTTTGTTTTATTGATTTTTTTATACTTTTATTGGTAAATTTGTCAATAAAAAAATATCGCAGAATTGATAAAATTACTACGGAAATCGTGTAGAATTTATCAAATTGATTTACAAAATATATAATTTAGCACGGACAGAATTGACCTATTATTGCCACAGAAAATCACTGTCGATTTGCCACCCTAGCTTTACGTTCTTTAATACGTGAATCTGTTTGGAAAACAAAACTGACAGGTACTGTGGGTGGTTTATTCAGCTTTTTAGTTTGCGTTGATGAAAATTGAGCTAGAGGTAAAGGCTAATACAAACACATTAAATCAGTATTGTTTCATAATAATAAATCTTTTTAACTACATCGACATTATGTTTCTTTTCAACCCTTTCTTATTCATTATACCTTACCCTTAAATTTGCCGGTTTTGCACGAATTTTATGGGGTTCCCGTTTTTTTCTTTCCTCTGTGTCATGAATTTTATGGGGTTCCTGTTTTTTTCTTTCCTCTGTGTCATGAACTTTATGGGGTTCCTGTTTTTTTCTAGCATGAATTTTATGGGGTTCCTGTTTTTTTCTTTCCTCTGTGTCATGAATTTTATGGGGTTCCTGTTTTTTTCTAGCATGAATTTTATGGGGTTCCTGTTTTTTTCTTTCCTCTGTGGCATGAATTTTATGGGGTTCCTGTTTTTTTATTTCCTGTGTGTTAAGCACTCTAAAATATAGATGAAAGAATATCTGAAATTGAGCATTAGTAAATTAATCGATGTATAATTATGTACAACTTACTTGCGTGGTTTGGCTCTCAATTTTGTACGCAATAATGGAGATCTGGGTTTAGTCGGAGGATTCACTTGAGCTGCAGTAGGCTGCAAATGACACTCGTCATTAATATATAAATCTTAATTATTATTCATAATTATGATAAACTCTACCTTAATAGATACGAGCTTTGATTTAAACCTATCAGGCGTCTTATCTAAGAATTGTTTAATTCGCATCGCCAGTGGAATGTATGGTGACGCCGAAAGTTGATTCTCCTTCTTGCTAATACGTGTAATTGAGTGAAATTTGAACGGCCTTGGCACCGTTAATTCTGGAACGAACTTTACGGGTTGCCGTTTCTGAATTTTGAACGGCCTTGGCACCGTTAATTCTGGAACGAACTTCTTCACGGGTTGCTGTTTCTGAATTCGATATAATAATTAAAGATATGCATTTTATTTATTCAAAAAATAAGAATGATAAATAGATAAGTCTTACTTGTATTACTGTAGTAACATTGTCGACTTTCTTTTCAAAAAATGATAATATGGTCGTAGTATTTTGCTTATCTTTCATAAATTTAATGTCAGTATGTTCAATTATTATTTCAATTTTTCAAGCATTTGATAAATACCAAACCAAGAGTCTCCTTCTCCAAAAGTTATATCATTGAGAAAGTCTCGATAATGTGGCGCGTTAATTTCATTATAAATAGATTCAGATCTCCTTAGAGACGCGTCGCTAAAGATTGATACGTCGTCTTTCACTATTTCTTGATTAGTTTTCATGATGCGCTTAGCTGTTTTTTTCAATTCCATGCCTTTTTTTAAAACCAAAAAACAACACAAATATGTTTATTTTTCTTGGACGTGATTTGCATCAAATGACGTTTTTATATATCAGGCTGGCTTTGCTATTGGTTAGTGGAATCTATCACATGATCTATTATGTTGCGTATTACCCGGATGAGCACCCTTGAAGTTTGACAACATAACACTACTGCTACTACATAATATATAATAATGATGACTCAGTAATAGGTTTGTTAGAATTCCAATTAGTGTTTAAAATTCAATATGCGAAAAAGTTTGTAGATTCGAAATACTACAGTAACTTTAAATATTTTGTTTAAACTAAAAATAGTATACAAGATATATATACGTATATAATTGAAAGTTATATTTTTATTAACATATACAGTATATACAGAATATGCTACTTATCTATAGTTTTCTTTTTACAATCCCCTCTTTTATAATTACAACTTCTACCGTATATAACTACATTAAGATTATTTTATTTTATTTTTTTATATTTAAAATATCTTTATATGCATATGTATATATGCCGTATCCTGGCTAGAGTACCTGGCATAGCAAAAAATTTAACTTGCCATATGGCATGCCAACTATTTAAATTCATGCCAAGATGCCACCTCTGGCATGCCATTAAATTGCATATATATAAGTAAGAATAGTCTGTATATTTAATATTAAAAACTGGCCTATAACCAAAAATTCTTACTTTAAGGTCAAAAATTAATTGTCATAGTAAATTTGTGTCAATTATATATATTTTTATATATATACAAGATTCTGTAATTTTATTGGATCCGAGCCAAGAACTTTAGAATCGGAAGTGATTTTAGCTGAGATTTTCTTGATATAAAGCACTTTATGCCTTATATCTATTTTGGCATGCCTCAATTGGCATGCCATAGTGGCATGCTATGCCAGGTATCATTATGCAGACCCGATCACTAGAGAAATTCATGGCAGGATACAGTACGTAATACGTATACGTACGTACGTAATACGTTACTTTGATTAATTTACTTTTTAGTATATATACGTAAAACATAAAAGAAAAAGTAAATTAATAAATAGAACGTATACAATATTTTATTATATTATATATATTAAGTAGTAAGTAGATCGCAATTGAAGGGTATAAATTTCATAGTAAAAATCGGCTATTACTTTCGTATAATATTGGAATGCCAAAAGTTTCTGGCAATATGTAAAAATCATAGTTATAAAGAAGAAAATGTCAATAACTCGCGATCTAACAACCCATTTTGAATAATTCTACCACTATTAGAACCGGAATAACTTGCTTTATAATCTTTGTTAGAAACTCAAGGAAGGTTTACTTGGCATAAAAAAACGTTTCATTGTAAGTTAGCTGCATTCCAACCCTATAGAAAAACTATAGCAATTTTTACTATTAAATTTGCTATTTTTACTTAAATAATTTTTATTAACAGTTAGCTTAAAAAATACAGTATATTTATTTATATTTATATATTGCATATTGTATAATACAGTATATATAAATAATGCGTACTAGAAATAGAACGTTGTCATTGAATCATTAAAAATCTAAAAAATACTGCATATTTAATCTTGTGCAAGAACGATTTTTATTACCAATTTAAAAATAATTAATATTAAATTTGCAATAAACTAAAATTCTCAAAATATCAGAATTACCCTATCAAAAAATTTACAAACAAGAACTAATTTGATTTGCAATCAAAAACCCAATACTAAAAATATCAATAGGGCCGTCGTTTATAAACGAGTTGTGATATTTAGTTATTTAACCAATCATTAATTAGAATTCATTAGTCCATTTAATTGATCCAATAATATGCTATCCACAGTTCTAATATAATTTTGATTAAATAATTGTGACCCGCCATTAATTGCTTCACACTCCGCTATTTTAGTACGAATGTATTGAATAAGATTGGTTGTATGAATTGGATCTCTTTGCAAAAGCTATGAATTTAAATTTATTCGAAATAAATGAAATATAAACCAAAATTAATCAAAGAAATATAAATTATTGCTAAACTATTAAATTTAATCTTTCACAAAAAAGGAAATAACTTACTGCACGTTTTCTTTTTGTTTCTGGTGTATCATCATGTTCATCACCTACTCCACTTTCTATCGAATACTCTTCTTGCCAATAAACCAAAGTGCTTTAAGAAAAAAAAATTACTGAATGTTTACGCGTTGCTTAATCAATAATGATATGAAAATAATGATATTTACTCTCCACCTCCAGATTCCCTGATCTCACTAAGTACATCACACCAAATACCAATAAATTGTTGTAAACATCCTAAGATTATTGGATTCGTTGTGGTGATTATTGTTGCAAATGCCATGGCATTCAATTTTCTCTGTTTTGGATGACCTATATTGTCAAACTTAGTTAAATCATATTGCAAAATAAATATATGATTAATAGATTTCTAGATAATCATCTCATTAATTTAGTCTTTTGTTTACCTTATCCAACCACACTTCCAATATCTTATTAATCAAATTGATTTGTGGTAAATTATATTGTTGATTAGCAATCGTTACGAACTGTATGAAAAATTGTGTATCAATAATAACTATCCTAGCTAGTATTGAAATATAGCTAACGATGACATATGGATACTCCTAATAACGGATAATGCATTATTTTATTTAATTAAAAGATAGAACAATTAAGAAAAATTAAGAAATTAAATGACTATACACCTCACTACCAGACAGAATAGAGTTAAAAAGCTTCCATAGAAGACCAGTGTTGATCATAGTTTCACTTAATGCTTGAAAAGGACAGGTCTGCAACATGATATCAATAACCTGGATTATCGCACGGCAAGCTTCAGAGTTCAACCCTCCCAACAACCGAGAGAAAACATCCATAATTGGATGACAATACGACTGCCGAATATAATGAAATAATTAATATAAGACGAATTGCCGAAATGAGTTTAAACATTACTAACTTGAGTAATCATCTCTGGTACTAATACTATGTAACTTTCAAGTATCCTGAGAACTTTTTTGAAATTTTCAGATCCATACTCCATTAATCCTATAACTGCAGGGAAAAGGCTAAACATGAGTGGTGTACATTCCACAGAATTTTCAAGTATAGCCAACCAAAGATCCAATGCTTCTTCCAAAAGGTAAACATATTCGTCCTAGACAGAGAAATGATAATATTAATAAATATATAAAAAAAAGAAATTATGATATCATCAAACTTAGCATGTAATTAATATTGTACTTACACTGCTTGGATCCACACTATATTGAATTATCGGTATTATAAATTCGTGGAGATTAATAGACTCTCCTCTCAGGGCCTATAAAAATATACATATTTTGTTAAACTCTAATATGAAATTTATAGATCTACGTAAAACTAACCTTAACAAGTTTAGTCAATATCGAAAGAATAGCTGGTTTAAACAAATGTTCATCATGAGCAGCTTGCCACAAAGGTGGTAATAAGTTTGTTATCTTTTCCGCAAAAGGGGCGATCTAAAATATTAATAATAATTAATGAATAACATTATAATAATGTCGGGAATTTAAAATAACCCAAACTTTTATAATTAATATTATTACCAGCTCTTCCATTCTTTCTACTATAAGAGATAGGCAGTTCAAAATTCTCATTCGACTCTCATATTGTTCAACTTCTCCGATCAAGCGAGTTAAGAATGTAATCGCTCGATCAAGGTATGTTACAAATCTTTCAGAATCAAAATCCCATTCATCCACACGTGCTTAAATTAAGAATGAATACACATAAAAAAAAAAAACCCCCCAATATTAACTTTTTTAAAAAGATAAAGGATATAGTTTCCCAAATTAATTGCGGCCGTCATCCTAACAATTAAATCTTCTTCAGGATTTATCAAATATGTCATTGCATCGTATACTTTTGGTCGATTTTCTTTCGATATTTTGACGCATACCCATCTACCAATCACCCACGCAATACGGCGACGGATAATTTTAAAGCTAAATACAAATGTCATGTCGATATGAGATTTTATTTAATAATAAAAGAAAACTAGACGCGTTATATAAAGATACGTACTTTGGATTATTATTTGCAGCTTCAATTAAAAGGCTGTTCACGAGCCATGAATCGAAATCGAGTTCATCATATAATTCGTGAGCTCCAAGGCCGACAGCACAATAGACCGCATCTTTTAGTATCAAGTCACATGTTTGAGATTCTATAAAATAAATGAATTATAAAAATTATCAAATTTGCTTGTTACAAGAAAATTGGCAAAAACAATCTCCACGTGTCAATGCCAATATTGTGTTGATTTAATGTAGTGCCAAATAAGACCATCATGATTATGAAATATAACCCCCTTTGACATAGCCGACCCATGTTCTTAATAAGAACAAAACTTACGAGCTGAAGTACAATGAAAAACGGGAATCAGTAAAATTATTATATTCTAATGTTAACTTTTTATTGAAAAAACAAAGTCAGATATGTTATGATTTAATCCTTGACATTGATAGTCTAATATGACCGTCGTGAATATGAGTATCATCATATTTACTGAATATAAAAATATGCTATAATTACTTACTTGCAACATTCTCGATCAATTTGACAATTTTTGGCGACAATAAATCTCGATACTGTGATAATAAATCCATAAAGACTTTCTCTGCACAAGGCTTAATAAAGAGGGTAGGGCAATAAGGGTCACATGAATGAAAAAGTAACAATATAAATATATTGAAGTTGTCAGCACACCCTTAAATGATGCTCCCAATGATCAGACTCATCATAATTAATCCATCCTTCTGGGTCTTCCTCCCACATTATTAAGTCATCCTTCCTCAAAATAATCAAATTTGAGATCAATAATTCTGCACAAGATTCAACAAAATTGGGTGTTGATATTTGTTCATCCACGATCCGCATTGCTTCAGATACTTGCAAATCTTTAGATTCTTCAAAAAGTTGAAGGTGTATGAAGAAATTTAATTTAAATGAACTTAACTATATAAGCATTTCTATAAATGTACAACGCTACAGTATACCTTTAAGACCATGGTTATATGCTGATTTCCTGATTATGCCTTTTAAAAGCAATAATGCTTGTATTAAATACTTTTCTATGACAGGAGACTTGCATGACAGGTCTATATTAAATATGAATTTATTTATCGGAATAATTATGTTTAAGAAAAAATATCCTCGTAGAATTTGTCACACCTTCATTAGATTTTCCGTAAGTTATTAGTAATTTCCAGTAGTACTGAATAACATCTACAGCCCCCGGCGTCATTATAAAAGAAATCGGATGAGTTTTTAACAGTTCGATATAGAATTTTCCTATCCGTGTAATATGTGCATCGATAAACTCTAAGCTTGGAGACGCAGAATCTTGAAATGCGTTTCCTATAACATATTTATAATTTGGAGGTTGTTTTTAATTGTTTACCTATCATGCTAAAATTTTAATTATATTATAAGAAAAACGTACTCAAAGCATGAAATTTCTGCAAATGTTCCAATACTAAAAGGAAAAAAGTCTTTTATTATAATCAATAAAAATCGTAAGAAAATAAAATATTCCGCAAGAATAAAGCAAGAGAGCCTTTTTTTTTTCTTTTTTAAACAATTTTTTTACCTTTGTTTCATCAACTTTGCTAATATCCTTAAATCCATAAACAGTCAAGCGTCGTATACATTTCAAAGCCGACAAAGAAGTTTCCAGATCAGTAGTAACACCGATATCGTTAGAAGAAGCCAAAGTGAAAAAACGATTGATATGCTCTACGTAAATCCCAGCAACATTACGAAGCAATTCTGGCGCAATCTTTGTTTTTATAAACAGAAATTATCACAATGAAATCAAAGACAATTGCCATATACAAAAGAATACGATAGCAAAAACCTCTTGTAACATTCTTCGATCTGGTCCCATTGTTTTCGAGCACAAAGCTTTGACAACTAAATGCAAAGTAACTAATGATCTTTTTTGTATTAAGATCGTCTGAGAGTCTAAAATGGTGGTTATTGTCGAATGGATGATTGATAATAAATTTTGAAGCAATTCTGGCCTAAATATATAAAAGCATTAATATTGACTTATAACAACGTAATAATAATGATAATACATACCATTCATTGGGATAATCTAGTCGTGCAATTTTTGATACTATCACAGCACACTGTGTTGCCAGCTAAGATATAAATTTAAAAAAAAAAGCTCTATTATTGTTTTCTTTTTTTTTGACATTTTTTAACATTATATTATGACCATTACTAACTTGATTATGCGCTTCGTCCATAAAAGATAAAAGCCTATTTCTAATCTTGGCCTTTTCATTGGGATTGACGGCGCTATTGTTATCAAAGTCAAAGTTGCACATTTCTTTAAGCTTCAAAATTTATTTATATTGAAAATATATTATATATCGACATTAAAATTTACTGTTTCGAAGTTTTACGCCAATATCGATCCACACCATTCTTGAAAAATATTGCTCCAAGAAACCTGATATTAACATCAATTGATCTGTCAAAGATAATATCCTAATAATTACAAAAGAAAACATTGCAAATCAATAAAATAAAATAAAATAAAATAAAATTAAATAAACTGGTAAATATTTTGTCATCTTTGACAAATAATATATAATTAATTAGAGGTTATTTTGGGATGTCTTTATTTTCAAATTTCAGAGATCGCGTGTTTATTATTAATTGATTATATCTATATAATTATGTACAAAAATGTGCAAACAAATATTATAGTGAAATATTTTTTCAAAAAAATTAGCCCCATTTTTTTATTATTAATAAAAAGATTAACAAGAAAACATCCGATTATATCTATATACTAATGAGAAACAAATTAACAAGAGAATATTTATACCTAGTTTTTTTTCGAGTCTTAATGTATAAAAAATAAAACATGTCTCAATTAAATTTCCTCGAGACTCACCAACAGAGTGGAATAAAACTCTGGCGCTATCTCCCATTGCTTAAGTCGCTCCTCGGCTACCTTTATTTGTTCAGGTTGTTGCGAAGCCGCTTCAGATAATGTTATAAGTAGTTGATCACGAGGAGAAGCCATTTTTTTTTTTTTTACACAATCTCAAAAATTGATAAACTTATATCTGGCACGTTGCTAACTGTGCTAACTGCTGGCCAATCAAATCTTTTTAATCACATCGATATACTGTACAAATTCTGAGTGTAATACCAGATATGCATTTCAATCTGATGACTCCTTCACAGACAAACGCGTTGAAGATCAAAGTTTTTAACATATAGATTATATATAATTATAATACAAATGATGAAGTGCATGATCTGCTGCACTATAAATGATCCGGATAATAAATATTTCGAAAAATTAATCGTCAAAATGGAAAATATATATCGATATCACTATTTTATCACCCGCCGACCCACTTTTTCAAATTTTCAAAAAAAAATTTTTTTTAAGTTCCAATTGCGACAATTAGGCCATACAAAGTTAATTTTTTGGTTCTCATAACATGGGACAAAAAAAATGACCCGCTCGCCCGGACTTTTAAAAATTTTATATTTGTTTTGTCTCTCATATCTGGTGTTATACTATGGAAATACATTTGGGTGTTCCCTTCTGTTAATCGAGCAACTTACGCAACCTTTAAAGTATCGATTACATTTTCTATTTTCGGTTACCTTATTTTTTCTCATGACTGTCATCTCAACAGGTCATAAAATGCAATGGGAAATGGTACAAATGACTGTCGTTCCAACAGGTCATAGAACTATAGAAAACATTAGAATCTACACAAATGACCGTCGTCTCGACAGGCCATTCACTTAGAACAATTACATCAATCCTAGCCCTCATATGACTGTCGCCAGTCTGTCACCCCAACAGGCCATATGCCTAGAACCATTACATCAACTTTAGTCCCCACATGACTGTCGTCCCGACAGGTCATATGTTTAGAACAATTACATCATCCTAGCCCCCACATGACTGTTGTCCCAACAGGCCACTTTGGAAAAAACTTACTGGGTAGGGTGGGAGGGTTGATGAAACCAGAACAAATGTCGGGTTCACAGAAGAAACAAAACTATTTCTCCCACGTACCTCATTAATTACTAATATACCTACATACTAACTTATTACCTCATACTTACTCAACTAATAATTTCAACTTTCCTATTACTTCATTATATGTAAGGATTACTTCATACTTACCCAACATCACTAATTGATCGCTTGATCAATCATCAAACTGAACATGTCACATAATGGTCTTGTGATGATTCGAGACAAAAGCTGCCTCAATACTTATGTATCAAGTAGCTTTTTGTTTGTCTCTCATATCTGGTGTCATACTATGGAAATATATTTAGGTAACTAGAGAGCATCATTCCACTTAATAAATTTTCATACATATTGTATTTTGTCTCTAAGCAACTAAGAATAACTAATGTATAACACATATTCAAAGAACAATAATTTACTTTCTAAAACCCATCATAACTGAAGTGCCCAAATTTGCTGTATCTACTGCCCTTATATAATCTAGCTGAGCATGGCGAACATTCGATTTGATTGGTTAAAAAAATGTAAACAAGTAAACAATATGCATAATGCAGATTATTATATAAATTTAAATCACCCACCTTTCCAATTACCAATATTATTAAATCTATATACATAGTAAGCAATATAAAATTTTCTATTCGGGTTTAATTTTACTAAAACACAATCTTTTTTAAATTTCTGGATCCAAAATCAAGAGATAGCTTTTATTCAAGGTAGCTTCTATTCGGTAACATATTTCATTAGCAAAAACTATTTATACCAAATTACATTATGTTTAATATATACATTACTACATATAATAATTAACAACTAGACATAGCACAATAACTAGCAACTGGACTAGTAGTTAGTTTTAGACCAAGTAATACAATAGTTAGTTTCGGAACAAATAGCAGATTTGAAACAAGTAGCATATTATATTCAGGACAAGTAACATATAGTTAGATTCAGAACAAGTAGCACAGTAGTTAGATTTAAAACAAGTAGCACAGTAGTTATATTTGAAACAAGTAACATGGTAGGTTTGGGACAAGTAGCATGATAAAGTTAGATCTAGAACAAGATTTGAAACAAGTAGCATGGTAGAATTAAATTTAAACAAGTGGTATAGTAGAATTTAGAATTAGATTCAAACCAAGTAGTATATAGAATTAGATTCAGGTCAAGTAGCATAGTAAAATTAGATTTAGAATAAATAGTACAATAGAATTAGATTTAAGATAAATAGTACAGTAGAATTAGATTTGAGACAAGGACAAGTAGGACAATAGAATTAGATTTGGGACAAGGACAAGTAGGACAATAAAATTGGATTCGGAACAAATAGCACAGTAAAATTAAATTCAGAATAAGTAGTACAGTAGAATTAGATTTTAAACAAGTAGCATAGTAGAATTAGATTCAGAATAAGTAGTATAATAGAATTAGATTCGAAATAAGTAGTATGGTAGAATTAGATTCATATGGTATATTATAGTATGATAGAGTTAGATTTGAGATAGGTAATATGGTAGAGTTAGATTTGGAACAGGTAGTTTAGTAGTTAAATTTGGAACAGGTAGCATAGTAGATTTAGACTCAAAACAGGTAATACAGTAAAGTTAGAGTCAGGACAGGTCATAGTAGAATTAGATTTGGGATTTATAGAAAAGTAGTTTTGTAATAATAGTTCGATTCAAAATATAGTATAATAGGATAATATAATAAATAAATAAATTATAAAATAAATGATGTATTCTCAAAGTTTTATACAGTTTTTATTTTTAGTATATATTGTTAGAGGTGTCAAATATCAGATGATTTTTTAGGAGGGGGTCAAAAATTTTGGAAATTACATATAAAGACCTGACAATTTTCATATATAAAGGTGAGGTGTAGGCTATTGATAAAAAAAAATTAGATGATAAATGATAGCGCTCTTATATAGTATTATTAGAAATATATAGTATTTATTTTATATCTATTTAATATTTATTTACATAATATGCAAAACTATAATAAATATCTGCTTCGCAATCTATAACACCAATCTAATTATAATCTTCAAGACCCATATAACTATTTTAACATAACTAACTCTTATACTAATTCTGTAATACTATCTAACTTAACCTCTGGCTAGACTAGTGATGTGGTGAAATTGCTCTAATGATTGCTATAACTAGTTATGATATAAGCTTTAGATGATTCTACCGCATTACTAAGCTATACTTACAATTATGATCCTAATTTTGCACTAGTCCCGCACTACTATCTAACCCTATTCTTTTTTTTTTTTTGGTGTTAAGGTAACCTTCATTGGCCTGGGGACTTTTTATTAGAGTATAGACGGAGTTTTATAGTGTAATTACAACGATGGTACATCAAGCCACACATGCACCTTTTAAGTGCCTAATTTAAGTAGTCCGCTCGAAGGTTCTACACTATTTGCCATACCTGCACCCCAACTAGGAGAGTACCCATTTAAACCATCTGGTTCTAACTACCTCCATCAGCCCTCTAACCCTGGGTGTATCTCATCATTTATATATAGATTTCAGATATTACCTATTGTAGATTTCGCACTCTACCTTAGGACTTACTAACTATATGGATTTTGTCAATCCCTATCATTAAGACTTACTAACCATATATGGCTAATCTATCCTCGAGGTAAACCTAACAGAGCGGTACACGTCCCACATGTGTATTTACTTGCATGTTCCTATAACTTCTTTCTAATTAGTATATATTAACCTGCTGTTTCATATGCGTATCTCATGCCACTTTTTGGAGTTATCACCAAAATTTGCAAGGGGATTACTATTGATATTAATCAGTTATTGGATAGTAATCGATATAAATACCCCCTGACGATGACTATCGAGTTAGTTAGTAATCGATATATA